GAAAAGAGTTGGTCGCGGACCCAGCTTACAAAAAAAGAGCTGATCAGCATAATTTTGAGCTCAACTCTTTCGACTCATTGAGCTGTGAGCTGTCGTAGAGCTAGATCATGGTGCTTTGTCAAGCCTTTTTGAACACATAAAATATTCATTGTAGATTTCTTGACCGATTCATGATTGGACAACATAGAAATGACACTTTTGGAAAGTTCATTACTCAAAGCTATGCGAATCTTTGTGAAGAGCGCATAAGTGTGTTAGAATCGCAAAGGAAGGTTCTCAACTGATCCACGCCTTTTTTTTGTTGATATTTTACCCATATGTAGGGCTCGATGAGACTAGAAAAAGCCTAGAAGGTTAATGGTCCATAGGCCTTCCATCTCGAGTTATGACCATTTTACTTGGTTTACCACCTCCCAGATCGAAATAGCTATGTCGGATCCTGTCGGATAGGTTTCAAATCCGTTGAGATACGGCTAATCGGATTCGGTCGGTTACTTTTTGTCGGATTCCGATGCTATCCACTGTTTTCCTTTGATATACGCTGGTCAGATTCATCGAGTTCCGACTAGATTCATATATTCGGAACTGGTCAGATCCGATCTCAAGATCTGTTCGCTTCCGATGGGATTCCTGGGAATCTGATGTCAAGAAATCGCCGGATTTTGCGGTTTCAAGGGACACCGGATTCCATGATAAAACCGATCAATCGCTGGTATCGGAACTTGTCGGATTATATAAGAATGCAGAATACCCAGGCCGATCTCACACCATCGGATCCGATACCAAGGATTCCGACGAATTGCCATCGGATTCGATAAAATTCGATAATTTTTCCGATAGGATCCGACGAGATCCGACTGTCGGATTGCTCGTTCTGGGTATCCAGTATTATTTTCCACGTAGTCGGATTCATGAATTAGAATATATTCTGACAGATCAATCAACTAATTAATTAATTTATTAAATATTCCTATTTTTACAAAATTCCAACACCAAAATCAAAAATCTGGAAATCCGATTTTGTCCAGATTTCATTCACCGTTTTGTTCTACAGATATCGATCTATATAAAGAAGTCTATACTTTAATATTTCGAATGAATTTCCAAAGTGTTGCTTAGATTAATTTTACTTCAAATGATTTGTTTTCCTTATACAATTATGTTTTCCACGCAATTGGATTCATGAATTAGAATATATTCTGACAGATCAATCAACTAATTAATTAATTTATTAAATATTCCTATTTTTACAAAATTCCAACACCAAAATCAAAAATCTGGAAATCCGATTTTGTCCAGATTTCATTCACCGTTTTGTTCTACAGATATCGATCTATATAAAGAAGTCTATACTTTAATATTTTGAATGAATTTCCAAAGTGTTGCTTAGATTAATTTTACTTCAAATGATTTGTTTTCTTTATACAATTATGTTTTCCACGCAATTGGATTCTTGAATAAGATTATATTCTAACGGATCAATGAGCTAATCAATTAATTAGATATTCCTCTTTTTACAAATTTCCGACAGCAAAATCAAAAATCTGGAAATCCGATTTCGTCCAGATTTCATTCACCGTTTTGTTCTACAGATATCGATCTATATAAGAAAGTCTCTACTTTAATATTTTGAATAAATTTCCAAAGTGTTGCTTAGATTAATTTTACTTCAAATGATTTATTTCCTTAAACAATTATGTTTTCCACACAGCGGATTCATGAATTAGTACATATTCTGACAGATCAATCAACTAATTAATTAATTTATTAGATATTCCTATTTTTACAAAATTCCAGCAACAAAATCAAAAATCTGGAAATCCGATTTTGTCCAGATTTCATTCACCGTTTTGTTTTACAGGTATCGATCTATATAAGGAACTCTCTACTTTCATATATCAAGTGAATTCTGCCATTTTGTAAAACTAAGTTGTATATATTAGGAAAAATCTTAGTACAAGCATTGTTCAATTTTAAGAAGGATCGTAGTATGTACATTGTTGGATTCTAAGAATACTCCCAGTTGAAACAGTTGAAATCTTTTAGACTCTTGATGGCATCCTGATGCAATCTTTAGAAATTTTGATAATATCCTGGTGAAATCTGTTCAAAATGTCAATTCAATCTTTGGAAAATCTTTAGAATTCTTGATGAAATCCTTGAGAAATCTTCGTGAAATCTTCAGAAATCTCGTCGAAATCCTTGGGAAATCTTCAGAAATCTGGATGAAATCCTGGGGAAATCTTCAGAAATCTCGATGAAATGCTGGGGAAATCTTCATAAATCTTGATGAAATCTTTGTGAAATCTTCAGAAATCTCGACGAAATTCTTGAGAAATCTTTATAAAACTTGATGAAATCCTGGGGAAATCTTCAGAAATCTCGATGAAATGCTGGGGAAATCTTTAGAAATCTCGATGAAATCTTTGCGAAATCTTTAGAAATCTTGAGGAAAATTGGATGAAATTGTCAGAAATCTCTAGTAAATCTTTGGAAATTTTGAGAATGCTAGAATGAAATCTGCGTGAAATGTTGATTGCATCCTTGTGCAATCGAAACAGATTCAGCCAACTTCTGATGAAATCCGACTGTATTCTGTCGGAGCGTTACGTTATCAGGCGTTTCTCTGTGAAAGGATCCTGGTGGTTACGGCATTATCCGACAAACAGTTCCGACAGGATCCGATCGGATCCTTTCCGACGTAATCCGGTCCGGAATCCGTTAGTTAGGAATCCTGTGAAATACGGTTGGGTTCCGATCGGATTTAGTTAGGAACCCGACGAATTCCGATGTGATCCGACATCGGATCCGATAGTTTCCGGTAGGATCTACAGGTCGGATTGAATCACCTGGGAGCTGTGACAAGGGATTCAGTGAAAAATCAGCTTTCGTCCACATGCAGGTCTTATCACTTATGTATTAACCTAAACGTTTCAGTCATAACAAATGCTTCTTTCTCGAAATATTGAATTTTCCATAAAAGTCGACTTTCCTGACATTTGTGTAGCATTGTAATGTTTTCTTGAGACCGCAATATTTCAAGAAAGAACCATTTGTTTTGGCTGAAACTTTTAGCTAATACACAGACTATAAGACCTGCATGTGAGCAAAGTTACAGATCGAAATTTGGTAATTAGATTTTTCGCCGAATTCCTTGTCATAGGTGGCAAACCGAGTAAAATGATCATAACTCCAGAAGGAAGGCCTATGGACCGTTATCCTTCTAGGATTTTTCTAGTCTTATCGAACCCTACGTATGGGCAAAATATCAGCAAAAACGGCGTGGATCAGTTGGGGACCTTCCTTTGTGAGTCTGGTATCCTTACGCACTCTTCACAAAAATTCACATAGTTTTGAGCAGTGAACTTTTCAAAAAATTCATTTTTGTGTTGTTCGATCACCAATCGGCCAAGAAGTCTACAATGAACATTTTATGTATTCAAAAAGGCTCGACAAGATACCATGAAACCTTGCTTTGTTTTTTAACAATAATACAGAATGTCGTTTGTGTCGCAGAAGTTATTCGCTGAAAGAGAGAAAAAAGTTGGTTGACGGACATGCTTTTTTTTCTTTTTTCGCGGAAAGTCGATGTCGTTGCATACAGCATACTTGAATAGCAGCCTTCACTTGCATAGTAAATATTTGATAAGAAAATGGAGAATGGCACACTTTGTTGGCTGTCATCAGTGGGTTTTTCCAACTTACAAGAAAAAAAAGCAACACAAAGTCAATACACAGCTGAAGTAACGCTGAATCGGCAAGCCCTGACGCCTGTCACAGTGGAGAGTCAGGCGGACATATGTGAAAATATTCTTTTCCAGAATCTAAGCATTTTCATAGATACATGAATATATGATCTATCATTTCCTAAAATAGCGGTTCTCAAAGTTTTATAGAGCCCAAGAAAAGAGCCTGCCCAAGCTTAGGCCCAGAAATTAGCATAAATAAAGAAAGTCAAGCTGTTCGGCAATATAACACAACATTCCATAAGCAAACAATATCACAAAAAACTGGCTCACCTAAAGACTTTGTAGTAAAAAAACTACCGTAATCCAATTTAAAATAGAGTAGAAAACAAAGAGTCTCTATGCCGAAAACCTACCCGAAAGCCTAGGTTTCGTATATTAAAAACCCTACAAAGGAGTCACGTCTGATCAAGTGCACATTTTTACCACATATACATACATATTTATCCCAATTACTGTAGTAGCGCGAACACAGGAAGCCTTTCCTAACTCTATTTTAGAGGATGCCCAAAAATCCGAGGTCTCTGGTCGGAAATACAGTTTTGGGGGCCCATGTTACACTTTCAAGTAAGATCAAGATGATATTCCGAATCAGCTCGTCAAGCTGCATCGAACTATAGATATTTAATAGTTTTTCAAGAAATTTTCGGCTCACTTTTACCGGTAAGCCGAGCCCAAAACCAAACCGTTCCGTATATTCTAAGGGTGTGGGTGTGGGTGTGGGTGTGGGTGTGGGTGTGGGTGTGGGGGTGTGGGTGTGTGGGTGTGGGTGTGGGTGTGGGTGTGCGGGTGTGGGTGTGTAGGTGTGGGTGTGGGTGTGGGTATGTAGGTGTGGGTGTGGGTGTGGGTATGTATGTGTGGGTGTGGGGTGTCGGTGGGGGTGTGGGTTTGGGTATGGGTGTGCGCTAAGTTTAGTAAGAATACCCACATCCACACCCATACCCACCGTCACCCTCACCCACACCCACACTATATTGTTATCATTCTTTCTATTATATTTTTTGCTTATATATTGTAAATTCAGAGCCCTGATGAGTGTTTAAATTTTTTAATAGACACGAAACGAGTCGGCAAAAATTAACTGTGCATTTATTTATTTTCTTGATAATTTCAATTGAAGCAAACTACTTTTAATAATATTTGAATTTTAAGTTGAATTGTCGGCTTGATCAATTGCTGAAAAGCGAGAGTAGAGGGCAGCAGATTGAATTAGTCTTTTCGTTAAGAGATGGATCGGTCTGTTTAGTTATTGAATTAGTTGATTCGACGAATTTCCCATTTCTGAGCGTCTGAGTCATTTTCGCGCCAGACTTCGACGTTTGTTGCATTTGATACTCCGCCATCTTTTACATTTAATGCCATACCAGAACATGCATGAAGCAGCTTGCATAATCCACGTTCGATAGGTTTAATTCGCCATTTTTGAGCATTTGAACCATTGACATCATAGATTTGAACGTTAGTGCCAGCAGGAGTATTAGCCGTGTCGCCTCTGTTAACATCCAAGGCTTTACCACTGATTGGATTAATTATTTGAACGGTGCCGTCTTCATTGTTAAAGATACCCCAGCGTTGATTTTGACCATGGTGTGCCTCGTAAATTGTAACATTAGCTTCCGAATGTTTACCGCCGGCATAGATATCAAGAACCTTCTGTGATTTAGCATGAACTATTTGAAAGGTAGCACTAGTTTCCATCACCAACAGTTTCTGAATATAGCACATATTTTTCAAAAATAGAGAAAATAGTTTAAGGTGAAAATGATGCACCTAACAGGCCAGATAACTAATAAAAGTAAATTAGCTAACTTTGAAAAAAATGTTGGAAGAACCAACTCTTGGGAACACTATTGTCTCGCTTGAAAATGATATTACGTCTATCCATTAGCACTACACTGTAAAAAAAAAGGTGCGGTACCGAACCCAAAAAAGTACTCTGATCGGAAAAAAGGTTTCGCACTTACTACGGAACCTACAAAGGTTTCGATTTCGTTACAATTATCTGAATTATTTTAGGTTCGGTACAGACCACTACGAAAACTTGAAAAACTGTCCTGAGCCAATGACAATCAATCTTAGTCATCCAAGGTTGTGAACGAAACCTTTTGATGGTTTCGTATCGTCTTCCAAAATGGTTCGGTACGCTGCAAAAGAATTTGTACGATTACGGAACCATTTAGGACGACAATATGAAACCCTCAGAAGGTTTCGTACACAACTTTGGATGACTAAAATTGATTGTCATTGACTCAGGACACTTTTTCAAGTTTTTCGTAGTGGTCTGTACCGAACCTAATATAATTCAGATAATTGTAACGAAATCGAAATCTTTGTAGGTTCCGTAGTAAATACGAAACCTTTTTGTCGATCAGAGTACTTTTTTGGGCTCGGTACCGGACCTTTTTTTTTTTACAGTGTATAGCATTATTTTTTTTAGCTATTTAGGAAAAATATATGAGTAGTCTATTATTCTTCTTTTTCGTTTCCTAGCGAATATTTATAAGAATGTTTATGTAGTCCCCTGTAAAAATATTTATACGAATAATCAGATTAAAATTGATTATAATCAAACATAATCAAAACCCAACTTTCATCAATTATTTCGATTACTTTCGATTATAGTCAATTAAAACGTCATGAAAAATGATCGATTTTTAATCATTTTTTTATTAGATTTCAGTCTAATTATTTCCCTAAATTTTTTTACATGGATCACATCCACCTATGCGTCATTGCACGATATCGACGACCAACCATGCTCAATCGATCGCACCGATTTCGATGAAACTTTGCACAAAATGTACCCCTACATGAATTATGAAAGCGCAAAAGATTTCAGCTCTTAATACCGTCTGTTGTAGATATGTTAAAGTCACAATGGAGGAACCCTTAGATAAAGAATGATCGTGATCAACGCGGTGCCTTTCCATTGTGTACTATACCATGTCTTAACGATCATGTTTTGAGCCTTGAAACTTTACGGGTATATAGTAGCATGAACGCTCTACATGTTGACACATTTAAAATAGTTTTTTGATGTACTAAGCAATTTGAAGATATTTTATGGATTCAACATAGGCCCCATAGGCACCATACCGTGTGGTCGTCATTTTTATTCCTTATGAGCGACTTATGAGTTCGCCCTTTGGGACCAAATACTAGTGCACCTCAACTATCAGTGCTAATTTTCAAAACATCGGGTATTTGATTTTCACCCGAACAAAACCCTTTTTTATTATATATAGGGATGCAACGGTGACGATTAATCACCGGTTAACCGTAGGTACGGTAACCGGTTCAAACCGTTGTCAAGAAAAAAAGCATTTTTTTTAAAAAATAACGATATTTTATAAAGCTTGACGAATATGAATCGGGGTCGGAGAATTCGAATCTGAGGTCAGTTTTTGAAAATTTCGAAATGAATTTTTTCGACTAAGGAAAAGTTTTTTTAAGAAAATGACGATATTTTTGTGAAGGTTGACGAAAGGAAATTAAGTTCAGAGAATCCGAATCTGAAATCCGATCCTTGCACCTTTCAACTTTTACTTTCCAAGACTAAGACGTTTCTTGAAAATCGTGTTTTTTCTCGAAACATTTATTCCTGATGGACATTATATGTGAAGACTAAAACTGATATTTTCAAAAACTGACCTCAGATTCGGATTCTCCGAGTCCGATTTACCTTCGTCAAGCTTTATAAAATATCGTTATTTTTTTAAAAAAATGCTTTTTTTCTTGACAACGGTTTCAACCGGTTACCGTACCTACGGTTACCGTAATGGACCGGTAACCGTACCTATGGTTATCGTCACCGTTGCATCCCTAATTATATACATATAGGCAAATGACGGAGGCCGATAAGTGATAAAGACGACCCACTCAAGAAAGTCGGCTTCTTTTATGTCAAAATATTACATATGATGCTTGGAAGTGGTTTCAAATACAATGAGCCCTATATCACTTTAAAACAGTATCTTCAGGTCGAGCGAAATACTCAAACACTATCATACAAGTAACGCTCGTCGCTTCGACTCGCTTAGCCCTCGACTGAACAAGATATCATATTCAATTTTTCACAGACGATATAGCAATAGAAGTTCACAAAAATAATACGAAAACGCAGAGTACTTTTTGAAAATTCTACTAGAAATTTGTACACATTCTAGAACATTCCTCGATAATGCTGTTGACTATAGAGTTCTCTAGGAAAATAGAAGTTCTGTGGAACCCCTAGCCGAAAATAAAACATATTATATCTGATCTCTAATCGAAATCTGATATATACAATAAGCTCTTATTCAAAGTAGTGATAAGACTAGACAGGTAATTTGAATATATCAGTGTACATTCAGATACTTGAATTAATACAAACAAAAACCATATTCCAA